TGTGTGTTGAAGAGAGGTTGCATAATCGAAGAGTTTGTGGATCGAAGCAAGCTACACACAAATTTGATTGGTTTTAGATTTAGATAAATTTGATTTAGATCTAAAATTGATAGATTTGATTTAGTACTAAAATATCTATTTTGAGCTGTTATAGTTTTGGGATTTATCTTAAGGAGCAAGCTAACCTAAATCTATAAATAGAGGGAGTCACCCCTAATTTTGTAATTAAGTCAATTCATTGTAATCACAGAATTTGCAGTTGCAAGTGATTAATAAAGTTTTCCACAGTTTGTGGGAAGAGAGAAACTCTACAGAGACTAATTTTCTTCTTTTCTTTTCTTTTCTCATAATTCATTGTCATTGTGTGGTGATATCAATCTTGTTCATCAAGATTGGTAGAAATTCATCATAAATATTTGATGGATTTCTAACATCTGATATCAAGAGCTCGGTTAATTGATTCAATGGAAGTATCAATAAAGAACGGTTGAGGAAGAAGAAGAATTCACGATGACGAGTTATGGGAATGCATATTCTCCAACAACTCTACCAATTCTGAAAGTAGACAACTATGAGAATTGGTGCAAACAGATGAAAATTTTATTCAAGTGTCAGGGTCTTTGGGATCTTGTAAAGGATGGATTTGAAGCGCTTGGAGAAAACACTTCAGAAGAAGAAAAGAAGAAACACACAAAATCTGAGAAAGTGATTTATAAAGCACTCTTTGTAATTCATCAATGTCCGAGTCTAGAAAATTTTGAAAAAGTGAGTGATACAGAATCTGCAAAAGAAGCTTGAGAGGTTCATGAGAAGTCTTTTGGTGGTGCAGAAAAGGTGAAAGAAGTGAGGTTATAAACTCACAAGAGAACATATGAATTGCTTCAGGTGGAAGATTTTGAGAGCATATCTGATTTCTTCACTAGGGTTCCAAAACTAGTGAATCAAATCAAGGTATGTGGAGAAACATTAACAACAAAAGTTGTTGTTTTGAAGATCTTGAGATCTTTGGCTCTTAATTTCAACCACATGGTGGTGGCTATAGAAGAGGGGAAAGACTTGTCAAAATTGACAAAGGAAGAGCTTCAAGGGACACTTGAATATAATGAGCAAAGAATGACTGAAAGAGCTACAGGCAAGTCGAAGAGTGATGTGGCTTTTCATGCACATTCAACAAAAGAAACCAAAGGCAAAGGAAAGTTGTTCGACAGAGGTAGAGGTGGCTACAACAAATCGACTTGTAGAGGAAACCAGAACGAAGGAAACATGTCGAATCAGAGCAGACAATACCAAGGCAACCAAAGAGGTGATTTTGCAAATAGAGGAAGAGGTGGTGGTCGAAAACCTGACAAGAGTCACATTCAATATTATAATTGTCAGAAGTATGGTCACTATTCGAGTGATTGTCCAGAAAAACGAAAGAATCAAGAAAGTGATGCAAAGTTTGCAAAACATGAAGAAGAAGAGAGGATGCTGATGGTTATAACAAGAGATAAAGATAGATTCAAAGACCAATGGTATTTGGATTAGGATGCTCATCATATATGTCTGGAAAGAAAGATTGGTTTGTCAACATAAAACCCTCAATGAAAAATATGGTAAAATTCGCAAATGACAATATCCTAGCAGCTGAAGGTATTGGTGATGTTATGATTATGATGAAAGATGGCAAGAGGTCAGTAATTTCCAATGTGTTGTACATACCAGACATGAAGAGCAATTTGCTCAATATAGGACAGTTGGTTGAAAAGAATTATAAAGTGTCGATCAAAGATAAGATGATGAGAGTCGTCAACGCAGATGAAAGATTAATCTTGAAGGCTCCTATGTCTCATAATAGAACCTTCAAGATCGAACTAAATGTGATAGAGCACAAGTGCCTTTCGGATGTAGCTAGTAGAGATGAATGGATATGGAATTATCGACTAGGTCATCTCAACTTAAGAGACATCAGACATTTGAAGAGAAGAAATATGGTTTCAGGATTGCCTAAAATTGACATTCCAAACGAGGTAGGCGAGGAATGTGTGCGGGCGAAGCAGCACAAGAATAGCTTCAGCATGGATGCAGGAAGCATGTCGAAGGTTATTCTTGAAGTCATATACTCTGATGTTTGTGGACCAATCCAGATGGATTCGACGGGAGGTAACAAATACTTTGTTACATTCATAGATGATTTCAGCCGAAAGTTATGGACTTACCTGATCAAGAAGAAAAGTGAAGTGGTCGAAGTATTTGTCAAGTTTAAGTCTATGGTCGAAAGACAAAGTGGTCGAAAACTCTAAATTTTGAGAATTGATGATGGTGGAGAGTATGTGTCGAAAGACTTCGACAGGTTATGTGAAAAGGAAGGGATTGTGCATGAGGTGGGACCATCCTATACTCCACAGCATAATGGAACTACAGAAAGTAAGAATCGAACTATCATGAATATGGTGAGAAGTATGTTGAAAGGTAAGAATTTACCTAAAGAGTTTTGGGGTGAAGTTGTGTCGACTGCAACATACATTTTGAACAGATGTCCTACGAAGAAGCTAGAAGGAATTACTCCAGAAGAATGTTGGTCTTGTGTGAAGCCCAGCTTGAGTCATCTGAAGGTATTTGGGTCTATTGCACATAGACATGTGCCAGATCAGTTGGGAAGAAAACTTGATGATAAGTCGAGTCAAATTATTATAGTTGGATATCATTCGAGAGGAGGTTACAAGTTGTTCGACCCAGTGAAAAATCAGATTGTGATCAGCAGGGACGTGATCATAGATGAGCTTAAGGAATGGAATTGGACTGAAAATATCAAGAAAGATTCAGTGTTAATCCTACTTGAAGAACCAGAAACTCAAGCCAAAAGAGAAGTTCGACAAGAGGAACCAACAGTTATAGATCAAACAAGTACAAGCAGACCTCAAAGAACAAGACGCATGCCTGCAAGATTGCAAGATTGTGTAATTACATCAGATGGTGTGATAGATAATGAAGGTGAGTTGGTATATTATTCTTTCTATGCAGATGTCGAACCTGTCAATGCAGCTAAAGCATTGAAGGATCCAAAGTAGGTGAAAGCAATGAACGAAGAAGTGAAGTCTATCAAAGACAATAACACTTGGTCACTTGTCGAATTGCCTCAAGCCAAGAAGGAAATTGATGTCAAGTGGGTGTACAAAGTGAAAATAAATTCCAAAGGGGGAAGTAACTTGACACAAAGCAAGGATTGTGGCGAAAGGATTTCTACAGAAAGAAGGAATAGAGTTCGATGAAGTTTTTGCACTTGTTGCTAGGATTGAAACAATCAGGTTGGTTGTTGGTCTAGAAGAAATAAACAGATGGCACATATGTCAGATGGACGTGAAGTGTGCATTCCTGAATAGACCCTTAGACGAAGAAGTTTATGTTAAACAACCAGTTGAGTTTGTGAAACATGACGAAGAGAGAAAGGTGTACAGGCTGCATAAAGCCATGTATGGATTGAAATAAACTCCAAGAGCTTAGAATAAGAAAATTTATAGTTTCCTAAGGGAGAAGGAATTTGTGAAGTGCACAACTGAACATGGAGTATATGTAAGAAGAAGCAATAGTGAATTGCTTATACTATGTCTATATGTCGATGATTTGTTGATAACAGGTAGCTATAAAAGTGAGATCGAAGACTTCAAAGGTGATCTCAACAAGGAATTCGAGATGTCTAATATGAGTGAGATTTCATATTTCCTTGGCATCGAATTCTACAAGAGCAATAGAGGTTTGATGATGCATTAAAGAAGATATGCAGGAGAAATTCTTAAGAGATTTGAGAGGGAAGAATGCAACTCAACTTCGACACCTGTAGAACCAAGACTGCAACTGTCAAAAAATGCAGATGAAGATGATGTCGACCCAACCTAATAAGGAAGACTTATTGGTTCATTGAGATACATTTGTCATACAAGGCCTGAATTAGCATATAGTGTAAGTATGGTAAGTAGATTCATGCATAAGCCAAAGGTATCACATCTAACAGCGGTGAAGAGGATACTAAAGTATCTCAAAGGAACTCTCGACTATGGCATTTCGTTTCCTGCACTTGATAAAGAAAAAGAATGCAAGTTAGTGGAATACACTGATTCGAGTTGGTGTAGTGATGCTGAAGATCGAAAATCAACAACAGGATATGTGTTTATGTTAGGTGGTGCATCAGTTGCTTGGAGTTCAAGAAAGGAACCAGTAGTGACATTATCATCATGCGAAGCAGAATACATAGCTGCTTCTCTTTGTGCATGTCAAGCAACTTAGATGGTGAACTTGGTCGAAGAGATAACAAGGAAAGATAATGGAGAAATTACCATAAAGATCAACAGTATGTCAGCTATCAATCTGGCGAAGAACCCGATAGCACATTGTTGAAGCAAGCACATCGAAATGAGGTTCCACTATCTTCGAGAGCAGGTAGCAGATGGGATGATGGGATGATGAATTTAGAACAATGCAGAACTGAGAATCAGATTACATACATCATGGTGAAGGGAGTGCAGGTCAAAGTATTAAGAAGACTAAAAACCATGATGAATATAGATAGTTTAGACATAATGAATTAGATGGTGTGTTAACTTGTAATTCGATAGTGTCGAAATAATGTGTGTGTCGAAGGGAGGTTTTAGATTTAGATAAATTTGATTTAGATCTAAAATAGATACATTTGATTTAGTACCAAAATAGGTATTTTGGGCTTTTATAGTTTTGGGTTTTGGCTTTGTAATTAAGTTGATTCATTGTAATCACAAAATTTGCAGTTGCAAGTGACTAATAAAGTTTTTCACAGTTTATAGGCAGAGAGAAACTCCGCAGAAACTAATTGTCTTTTTTTCTTTTCTTTTCTCATAATTCATTGTCATTGTGTGGTATATCAATCTTGTTCATCAAAATTGCTAAAAAAAAATTCATAGATATTTAGTGGATTTTCAACAAGAAATACGCATCCCCCTAACAAATGCAGTGTTTTTATTATAATAAATATATTTGTTTAATTAAACATGCAGATTTATATTGTCTATACCGGAGATACCGTCAAAGATGAAGCTGCTTCTTTACTCCATTATAATTATTTGCTACAACAGGCTACAGACAGATTACATAAGTTTGTTGTAAAAAATAAAGACTAGTGAATATGTTGTGACTTGATATCATGTTTGGGATAAATTCAAGTTAGGCTTTTGAATTGTCCTATTTATACATATAGCTTTAGTTATAATATGTTTTATTTCAACCCTTTAGTTTCTGTATTTAATTTATTATTTTATCTAAAATTAAAAGTTTGATGTTCATTTTATGTTTATGTTTTTTAATTTTTTTAATTGTTCATATTTTTCTTAATATAAAAACATAGTCAATATATAGTCATATGTTTTTATTCTTCTTATAAAAAAATGTTATGAAATTATTATAAAACAAAATAATAAGTCATTTATTAATAAAGGCTATAGCTTATAACATCTATTAATTATTCCATAAATTTTTCTTTTAGACAGAAGACCATGATCATTTTTATTTAAATTTCTTTGTTGATGATTAGGTCAATTCGGTCCTATTTAATTTCACAAACATTAAGATAAGTTTAAATTTAAAAGTTGGTTCCATTAATATTTAGGAACCATGTCAAATACCATATCAAATACCTTAAGTAGCAATTGAATACATATGAGTCACTAGACTAGCTACAAAAATTAGACAATCAAATAATTACAAAAAAAATATTTATTATATTACAGATGAATAAAGCTGTGTAAAATTTTGATGACTTAAATAAACTAGAGAAAAAACTTATTTAACTTACTCTTTTTTTCTTCAATTTTAGCAACTCGACGGCAAAAACTATACTTTATTACTATTGACGTAGTTTCAACGGATTTGTGGTGAAGCTAACAGAAAAAGAAACTGATAGAATGGCAGGTATGTTTTAGAAGTAAATTTTTTATTGAAAAAACTGCTTAGCATTTTTTTTTTAAATATTTATAAAGTTGCTAACTATAAATTATTGTAATATAGGACTTGTTGGCTTTACACAACAGGTAGAAAGACAAAATTATGAAAGCCATGTTATAGTTGAAGTAATTGATTCTGGAATTTGGCCAGAATAGAAAAGCTTCAATGATAAAGGGTTCAGTCCACCACCTACCAAATGGAAGGGTTCATGCCAAGCTTCTGATTTTACATGCAATAAGTAATATTCTCTAACTTTTCATTATACTCTTCTTCTTTAAAGTTACAAAATATTTTAGAAACTGCTGCAAATGAATGATGGATGTTGGATGTATATAAAACATCCTCTATTTTGTAACATCATAAAAATTGATTATCCATTTGATCTGTATGATACATCTCATATTGAAATTTTTTGTAATGTTGAGTACATGAAACTCACATTCACATAATTTATAATAGAACACTTTATTACATAGAGATTAGAGAGGGACAAACAATTGTAATATAAGTGTGTTAATATAAGTATATATGTTTTTCAGTAAATTAATTGGAGCAAAGTTTTATCCAGCACTCCATAATGAACTAACCTCAAAAGATATCGAATCTCCTAGAGATTCAAGAGGTCATGATACGCATACAGCATCAACGGTGGCTGGAAATTCTGTTAGTATGGCAAGCATGTTAGGCCTTGCACAAGGAACCGCTAGAGGAGGAGTTCCATCAGCACGCGTTGCTGTATATAAAGTGTGTTGTTATGAAGGATGCAATGAAGCAGATATTCTTGCTGCATTTGACGATGAAATTAAAGATGGAGTTGATATATTATCAGTCGAATCTTTTCATGCTATAAAGCACGACGTGCTGACAGTATTTTCAGCCGGGAACACAGGTCCATATCCTAAATCTATACAAAATTATCAACCTTGGGCAATTATTGTTGGTGCTACCACCTTGGATAGAAAGTTTATTACCAAGGTCAAAACAGGAGACAATAGAACTTTCAAGATACATTTTATTAGTTTCTTTTTCATATGCTCTCCTACATTCATCCTTAATGACTTCAAAATATTAAGACACGTATTTGTTTCATTTTTTGAATTCAATATAAGTTTATTGAGTTTGTAAATTATAATTTTTTTATATATAATAATAACATAAATATATTAAATTACTGTTTAGGGTATTTCTATGAACAAATTTGACCTTCATGAAAAATTTTATCCAATAATCTATGGTGGGGATGCACCAAATAAAGAAGCAGACTTCGATCAACACTCATCAAGGTAATTACCATTCATATCTTTAAAAATATCACAATAAAATACTAACATTATTGAAAATAATGAAATGAAATTTTATTATGAATCCCTATAATTTATTATGTACTATTCAATTTTAGTGTTATAAAAATTATTAAATTGTATTACTTACATTTAAAAATAAGTTATGTCCCTTCCGATGACAAAAAAATATATTTTAATTTTTTATTCAAGTACTACAAAATGAGAATTTTTTTTTACAATAACTAAGTATTAAAATAATATTTCACAAATAACCGCGTTTCAGAAAAAATTACGCAAATAATCATGTTTCAGATGACTCCCCAAAGGAGGAGCCATCTAACTTGACGCCTCCACCCCTAGTTTTGCCCTAGGCGTCATCTCACTTGGCGCCTCCTCTCACTTTTAGCCAAGTGAGATGGCGCAAGCACTTTAAAAGTGAGAGGAGGCGCCATCTCACTTGACTCCTAGGGCAAAACTAGGGCAAAATGCTGTTTTATAAATAATTTGTCTGTTTCTTCGTCGTTTCTCACAATTTCTCGCACTATTTTGTTATTTTTTACTCTGTTATTTGCGTCGTGACATCGCCCATGATTTTTAGCAGAGATGGTCACGTTATCTTCTCCGCCACGAAACCTGCGATGAAAATAAAATTATGGCACATTCACTCCATGGAGCGTCTGAAGCGGGAGTTGATGCGATGGCTAGATGGAGACATTGTGGAGGGGGGGAAAATTCGAAGGATCAAGCGAAGACGAACAAAAACCTCACATGCGACAGGAAGACCTAATGTATGGTTGGAGGAAGTCAAAACAGACAGCGATGTAATGTTGATGATGCATGAGTCAGATGAAATTGTGTTAACAGTTGTAATTTCGTAAACGGAATATCATGTATTTATCTTGTACGCGAAATATTTATTGTAGCAAAATCTGTTAACGGAAAACCCTAATGTTTACAACATAATTAAGGAAAGATTTTATGTATTACAATTTTTATGTGGTCGAGGCAGACGCCCGATTCGGACAATTTTTGCGATTGTGTCCGACCTGACGGCATAAACAACACTTTCTTTCCAGCTTGTCAAGATCGTCCATTTCTATTGTGATGCGCTTACTTTTGGGACGACCCTTCTTGTTCCTTCGCATTTGGTCATTGTGCCACACTATTTTGCAGTCGTATGCAGGCCAATAATCTGGTTTTGCTACCAAAGGAAAGTTGTTGTTGTAAACGTTGAGCAACGTTTCAGATTTGTAAATGTGTGACAGAAGTTGCAGCGCGTCTTGATGGGTATAAGCACAAGTGGCAATGACATGAGAGCAAGGCATACAAAATGCTTGAAACCTGCCACAATCGCACCAACGAAAAGGTAGCATGACCCTATATTCTTGTCTTGGCAGGCCTTCGTTGTGGTCGATTGTCTCTTTCACAATGAAGTTATGGCTGTGTCGGTCAAACTGTATAACCATATGAGTGTTGGCTTTTCACTTTCTGCCTTAATGTATTTCATGCAACTTTCACTCCATAGTTGTCCAGATTGTAACACCGCATTCCATATTTCACCTCTTTTGGCAAATAACGCAGCCATCCTAAAATATGTAGATTTTACCAAAGCAGTGATCGGGAGGTTTCGTATGCCTTTGAATACCCCATTCATCGATTCAATAAGATTCGTTGTCATGTTCCCCCATCTTTGGCCATTATCGTATGACCTAGTCCATTTTTCCACCGGAATATTGTCGATCCACCTACCGGCTTCCGGATTTGACAAACGGATCTCGTTGCGGTAATATTTGAATGTGGGTTGTGTCAATGCATATCTCGCGTTCATAACCGCTTTCCTTAGTGTTTTGTCCTTGATCTCCCTCGTGAAATTCTGGACAATATGCCTAACGCAATAGACATGCGTAGAAGGAGGGTCATGTCAACCGTTTGCAGGATTATTGTAGGCACTTTCAATGGAGGCATGTCTGTCCGAGATCAAACAGAGATCTGGGTGAGGAGCCACGTGTGTCCGTAGATTTTTCAGAAAAAAGCTCCAAGCACCATCGGTCTCCCCCTCGACATAGGCAAGGGCAATGGGGAAAAGATTATTGTTGCCATCTTGTGCAACTGCCATCAGTAGCGTGCCTTTGTACTTCCCATACAACCAAGTCCCATCAATTTGTATAATTGGTTTGCATGATGCAAACCCTGTGATGCAAGGTTGAAATGCCCAAAACACTCGACTGAATATTTCGTTGTCGTTTAGTTGACTACCATCTTGGGCGTATGCTGGCACTGTTTCCAGAACATAAACAGTACCCGGAGAATACGTCTTGAGTGCATTCAGGTAGCGAGGAAGTTCTTGGTATGACTCCTCCCAGTTTCCGTACACCTTTTCAATCGCCTTAGTCTTTGCTAACCACGCCTTACGGTAAGACGGAGTATAGTTAAAAACCGTGGTGATGTGGGAGATGATTGTTTTCACCTTCAAAGATGGGTCGTTGCTGACCAGTGGTAGGATTTCTTGACAGATGAGATCGTAATTAAGTTTTCGGTGGTCCTGTGATTGGGTAGAACTTACACAAGTGTGGGTAGTCATGGAACCTATGACCCAGCAATCACCTCTTAATCTGTATGATATAGTCAGCTTGAACATACAGTCAGGGTGGACACACTTGATCTTGTACCTTTCTTGGTTGACACGGTCCACCTTAAAATCAACCGAGTTGAGCATGTGGAATTTTTTTATGGCTCTGATGCATTCCTCTATGTTACGAAACTTGTCCTTCTCTTTTAAATTTTCATCCGACTGCATATACGGATTGAAAAATAAGTCAGTAGACGGTTCATCTCCGCCCATGTTGAAGTTTCTCATGTGCGGAGGTGGTGTGTAGATCTCGTTTACAGGAATACTATATATGCCATCATCGTCGGAATCATCATTCACGATTTCATCAAACTCTAACTCGTCATCTTCTTCTTCTTCATCAACTGCATCTACCTCAGCTTGTTCATTCTCCAAAGGATCAACCACTTGTGTCACCTGAGGCTCTCGCAGCATAATGTACAACTCAATAGAGTCGTACCCAGAATACACATGGTTGGAAAACATATTCTGGAGATCCTCGTCATCTTGAACTTCAACCTTATAAAAAATTATTTGGTTGTTTAAAAAAAAACTGGATTCTGATAAAATATATGTGTCACCGGGCCTCGTCCAAGTTTGGCCTCCAATCGTTTTTTGAAGTACGAGAAATTGGCTTTCCCGTTTAAAAGAAATCGGATGTTGTCTGTGTCTCTAAACAAAAACCCAGCGGTGGGACAAATGTATGTCTCACCGTTGAAATGTGCTTTGACGACATATTATGGTGCAGAGGCCATTACGTAGGGTTGTTTGAAGGTATGAAGGTTGGAATGTTTGAAGTTTATGAGTTATTCGAAGGTTGGAATGTTTGAAGTTTATTGATTGTATGAAGGTTTGAAGGTTGTAAGGTTTGAAGGTTGGAATGTTTGAAGTTTATGAGTTATTCGAATGTTTGTATGTTTGATTGTTTGAAGGTTTGAAAGTTTGATTGTATGAACGTTTGAAGGTTGGAAGGTTTGACAGATTAAGTGAATCAATGTTATGATAAACGTAAGACTAAAAATCTCATACTGAATTTCAATTAAGTAAGGATGTAACCCCCAAGGCTGCCAATAGTGATACATGCATGGCATCCCAAAGGATGTCACGTAGCCTGAGCCTACTCTGCCACCAATGACACCTCTTATTCGCCAATTGGGTTGGCGACACCTTTCATTTTTGTACTCTTTCGCCAAGCCCAATGGCGCCTCCCTTAATGTCCAATCGTGTTACATGCATGCAGATATGTAACCCCCTAGGCTGCCACCTAGCCCGCGCCTACTCTGCACCTACATTATATCTTGTAAGTCTCCTCTCATCACCTCCAATAGTGTTACATGCATTCAGGCATGGCATCCCAAAGGCTATCACGTAGCCTGAGCCTACTCTGCAACCAATGACACCTCTTATTCGCCAATTGGGATGGCGACACCTTTCATTTTTGTACTCTTTCGCCAAGTCTAATGGTGCCTCCCTTAATGTCCAATCGTGTTACATGCATGCAGATATGTAACCCCCTAGACCGCCACCTAGCCTACGCCTACTCTGCACCTACACTGTATCTTGTAAGTCTCCTCCCATCACCTCCAATAGTGTTACATGCATTCAGGCATGGCATCCCAAAGGCTGTCACGTAGCCTGAGCCCACTCTACAACCAATGACACCTCTTATTCGCCAATTGGGATGTCGACACCTTTCATTTTTGTACTCTTTCCCCAAGTCCAATGGCGTCTCCCTTAATGTCCAATCGTGTTACATGCATGCAGATATGTAACCCCCTAGGCTGCCACCTAGCCTGCAAGAGTGACACTTCTCATGCATGCATTCACCAGCTACCACCTCACTCACTCTATGAAATTTTTTTGCCTATAAATACAGACCATATCATACTTCTCTCACACCTACACTCGTCTCACTCTCTGCTACGAAGTCTTTCATAATCTCTTACACTTTCTAAGTCTTTCATAATCTCTTACATTTTCTAAGTCTTTCATAATCTCTTACACTTTCTAAGTCTTTCATAATCTCAAGCATTTTAAACAATGGCTCTTCTAACAATGGGAGATTCTCACAGAGGCACAAGGGAAAACATTGCCGCATTTGTAAGTTTCTAATTTGGTTATACATTATTTATACTTAAGGTAATGCTATGTCCATCTTACTTAATCTTACATCTTTTACATTATTAACTCAGGATACCAAAAGATTCAGAATCCGGTCTCACAACTATCTGGCTCCCGACCCATTTATCGTACCATATCTGGAATACGCAGGTTTCAGACATGTTATAAAGATCTCCAACTGCACAATTGATTCGAAGTTCATTCTTGCAATGTTGGAAAGGTGGAGACCAGAGGCCCATACATTTCACCTACCAATAGGTGAATGTACCGTCACG